GGCCCGAAGGGCTAGGCCCCAGGACACCTGGGTGTGGTCTCCACCCTGTCCCTGGAGTCAGTAAGGCCCAGGGAAGCTGCATTCCCCAGAAACTGGACATTCCTTTCTTGGCAGTCACTCAGCAGGACAGGGCAGTGGTGGGAAGGGAGGACGGCCCAGGTGACATTCTGACACCCACATAGTTCCTGATGGTGTCACAGTGGGGGATGCCGTGAGCTCCCGTGCAGCTTTACTCAGCCAGTGAGCACTGAGTCCCGGGCTCGGCGGTAATGATTTGTCTTCAAGTGTCTCTTGCTACTAAACTGTGTGCTCCCCGAGGGCTGAGCGCTGTGCTATTCATCTCTGGCGCCCTGGCCCCAGGCACAGCGCCTGTGGCACACTGATAGGGCTAAACAGATATGTGTGGAATGAAGAAGCAGGCAGGTATGCAGGGGCATCACCCCAGCCCTCCCAGCAGCCACAGCCCCTGCGGTGGCTGACTCCTGGAACTGCTTCTCTGGCCCAATGCCAGCCCTGGACGTCTCGGTGGCACCTCACCTCCCCACGGCCACCCTCCTCTCCCCAAGGCACCGCTGCTCCTCAGCCCAAAGAATGACACTGCCATTCACCGGAGACACCTTTCAGATCCCACCGACTGCAGAGTCCAGCCCAGTCCACCCCCTAGGTGGTTCTGGAATCACATTCGGGCTGCACCGGCCCAAGTCTGAGCACCACCATGGCTTGACCAACTGATTCCCCAGCCTTCCTCCTCTGGGTCTCCCTGATTCCCCCCTACCTATGTACAACATGCCCCTGCTCTGCACAAGCCCTTCCTCCTGCCTGAGGCCCTCTGGGGGCTCCTACTGGCCTTTTAAGGAGGGGCCTTGAGGACACGGCCCCCACCTGCCTCTCCCCTGGGCCTCCCTCCGGCTCTGGGGTGCCGCCGGGGCTCTCGCTGGCTCCCCAGCATCTGACTTCCCTCTCCCTTCCTAGCCTTATTTCTTTGCTTCATTGTCTGACCTCCTTGCCGAAGGGCCAGAACTGTGTCTATCTTGTTTGTTGCTGAATTCCAGGACAGAGCATACCGAAGGCACCCAATAAATGTCTGCTGAATGCATGAATGATTGGACAGGAGGGCAAAGATCACGTGTCTTAGTCTCCTTAAGGAGAGTGTCAGGCTCTCTCAGACATAGTCAACGCTCTCAATCAATTCCGATCGAATGAGTGACAGGAGGTAGAGTAAAAACGAGTGGGGGCAGTATCTAAGAGAAGGCAAGACGGGCAGCTGGCACCCCTGATTCACACTGATCTCTTGGGCAGCCCTGCCCTGTTCCCCCAGCCCCACACCCCACCTCTCCGTCATTAACTATTTACTAACAGCCCTTCCAACACACCACTTCAGTTTCATGGTGCTTTACATTTTTATAAAATACACACACACACCTCATTCAAGCCACTCAACCAGCCAGTCGGTCACACTTTGCTCAGACTCTGAGAGGGTCGCAGGGGCAGCGTGGCTGGGCACAGCCACCATGCCAGCCTTTGCCCTTAGCAAGCTGTGGGGTCATTGGCAAATTCTTCGCCTTCTCCGAATCAGTTTTCTCATCTGTGAAAGGGGAATTATACCGGGTACCTCTCAGGAGGGTGAGGAAAATTGAATGATGCCACCGATGTAACTACCCGGGGCCAGGCCAGTCTCTGGGAGATGCTTAATAAGCCACAGTTACATTTCTTCCCTGCAGTGACTTCCCCCAAACCTGAGCCGGGAACTCTGCCCTTCTGACTCCAAGGGCAGTATTCTCACCAGTTAGACCAGTCCTACCAGTGCTATGTGGCTGCTGCAACCCCTGTGGGGGCTGCAGGGTTGGAGGGCTGGCTTGAGAGGCCGGCCTCCCCCACAGCTCTCCTGCCTTCCTAAGGGCGGCCAAGAACCCGGGATGCCCGGGGGCGCCCGCAGACCCGAGACGGCATAGGGTGTTGGGGAGGCGAGTGAGGGACACCCCAAGCCTGTCTCTCCCACTCTATTCACCAGGTCCTCGGGGACCCCCCCCC